TAAGGGTATCCTTTACTAGAAACAACCATTAGAATATAGAATATGGCCTTAAAGCTTTTCACTCCTGCGCTGGTACCTTCACTGTTTTACCCTACGTATCTACTATTTGTTTCTTTCAGAAACAAACCAACTATCTCCCTCTGAGATAAATGTAACTCATAGTAATAGTATGATGTTTGAATGACCTTTACATTCACTTACAAAATCTAAATACTGATATAACACAAACACTTAAGGGTCAGCTGAAAATGAGGCTTGGGCCACTGCTGTTGGTCCCTACGAGAGTCTATTGATGTGTGTTTTACCAGTAAAGTGCTCGTTCAACACATAATAGTAGTACATAGGAATAAAATAAGTAAGAAGTCACAATAAAACCAAGTTATATAAATACTACACCATAGTATTTGAAGATCAGATACAGCACTCTTACATACTGGACTCAGCAGGCTTCTAATAAATATTAACTGTGATTCTCTCAAATGCAGGTTATTTTAACTAGATTATTTGCTCCTTATGTTATTCCAACAAGCCATTAAAAGACAAGAACGGTAATATTTCCAACCTTACTTTTAAGCATCTGACAAATAAAAACTTTTTACCAGTCCCTGAAAATTCAGTTTCAGCAAAGCTTAGCTTGAACCAAAACTACAAGAGTGAATCTATTTTTGAAGTGTGAAAAAAATAGAAATTGGACAAAAAATGCCACCCCTACTTCCACAAGTAAACTACAAAACCTGACATTTAGTAAAACATTTTGCCATTTATTTCTAGATTTCTAGAACAGCATAACAGAACTATAATGTATTTTGCCAATGCCTTTTTTCTAGCTTGCATTTGAAGGTATGAAATACTCTGACTTATTAAGTCTTAATATGTTATGATTATTATCTTACCGATATTGTATAACTTGACCTTTATGCAGGTAATGAATAGTTGATCTCTTGGTTTGCCTCTTCCTTCTTTTTGGTTTATGCTCAAAAAATATCATTTGCTGCTCTGTGATATACTGTGGGGACAGTACATGCCGAAATGATTTGTTTAACTCCTAAAATACCAGAGAAAAGAAGGTGGTCATCTGCTTAGTTTTACTTTATCTAACATGATAGATATATACAAATGTACGTACTTTGATGCCCCATAATCCAGTTTAAAAGATATTGTGATATGGAATCAATGAAGATTATTAGGCTGTTTATTTTCCTTGGGATGAACATCTTGTGCACAGGACAACTATCATTTGTAAATGATTTTATTTGATCTCAAAGCAGAAGAATCTGTAATACTACAATTATTTCTATAGCAAAGGAAAGCCTGCATGAGCTGAATTGTGTGATTGTTGCCAAAAAATCTCTGAACAGCAGTCAACATATTCCTTTAGACTACTTTGTACTGATCTATAATATCATGAAAAAGAAATACTGGGATAGTAGGATTCTATTATTGGATGATGACTGGTGGTACTTACATTGGTTTAGCAGGTATAACATTCTGATTATGCCATTATCAGAAGGACAGTAACAGTCAGGTATAAAGAGGGAAGCGAGTTGTGCCTGCACAGTTAGTGGCACTATATATCAAAGAAAGTTTAGAGTCAAAATCAAATATCAGGCTGTCTCTGTCAACCAGTACCATCGAACCTCTCAAATCTGGAGAATGATCATGAAAAATGCAATAGAAGGACTGTGTTAGTCACTGTCACACCATCTGAGTAAGAGCACCTGGGACATGCTGAGAATGATCAAGCAGAATGTGAATGTAATGATGGGAAACTTGTTATCCCACTAACTGGGATTGTTTGTTGGATAAATGTCCCATCAAGATGTGAAATCAAAACCAAATGTTTAGATTCTGTCACTAACTGCCTCATGGAATACAGAATCCACAACAACTCTTGACTTGCTCCTGACCATCCTTCCGAGACTGGAGATGATACTAAAAAGATGCCCTAACTTTTGGCTGGTTGAGTGCATAAACATAAAAGACAAGCCACAAGAAGTCTGAGGAAAAGGCACAGAAATAGTACAAAATTATTTATCAAACACATCAGGAATGGGAAACATGCCAGATAGTTTGTAGGACCAATTAAATTGCAGAAACGCTCAGAGACAAAAACAGGACCACAGCAGAAGAATTAAGTGAATTGTTGGTAGTTATGTCAGCTGTGGAAAAGATGGGGAAATTCCCACTGTGGAACCTTCTGGGTAGGGGCTGCTTCAAACAGCAGCATCGTAGCTGAGACTGAAGGGCCGGCACAGACCTGCTGGCTGACTGGTTTTACCCAGGAATTCTAAGGAGATTCAGGAGGGAAACAGATGATTTACTAACTGTGATACATAACTTACCTGTTAAAATTGCCTTAGCAACAGACTATGGAGGCTGCCAAGTTTGTTTAAAAAAAAAAAAAAAGCATCAGGGTAACTTGAGGGAACTACAGAGTAAGACTGATGCTAACTCTAAACAAACTAGTGGAAAGAAAGAATGGGAGAATGAAAATCAGAACCCTGGACATACTGGCAAGCAGGAAATGCTGGGGAAGAGCCAACACAATTGATTGACTCAGTTTCTAGACTTCTCTCACAAGGGAGACCTCATTGATGCAGTCTACTTGGATTTCCAAAAGGCTTTCAGCAAGCTCACTGTAAGTGCTTTTAGGGAAAAGAAGTAGCCATAGTAGTAGGGAAAATCTGAATGGATGAATAAGTAATTGAAAAATTGATAGTCCTACAGAGAAGAGACCCTTCTTACAAAGGGTAGATGGTCAGATTTGCACGTGGGGCGGCTTCCCAGTGCAGTTCCACATACTCTTTGCATTCAGCAAATTTGTGTTTGAATTGTTCAAACTGATGCAGCAAAGTGAGGAATGTTGCCAAGGATACTAAGGAAGTACAGATAAGGTCTGACTCTGAAGAGCTGTACCATGGTATTTTGAGACTGATTGTAAAAGTTCTGATAGAAATCAGTGTGGATGAATAAAAGTATACATATCAGAAAAGGCAATCCGTATTTTTCATACCCAGTAATGGGTGCCTATGCAGGGGCAGTGGGGGTCTTGCTTTTCTCCAGGGGCAAAGGAGAAGCTTCAGCCTTTCCCACAGTCAAGTGTGGCATGGCAACCCCGGCCAGGCCAGGCACTCTCCGCTGGGAGGGCGCCGAGCGGCTCAAAATACAGAGCTCCGTTCACTCTGCCTGTGGGAGAGCAGAAACTGACACTAAAGGCTTCAGAGTCATCTATTCACCTGAATGCTTAACAGCTCCAGCATAGTTCAGGTTATTCACTTAAAATAAATGTAGAGCCATAGATGTGCTACAAGCCTGAATGCTTAACAGCTCCAACATAGTTCAGGTTATTCACTTAAATGTAGAGCCATAGATGTGCTACAATGTTTCTTGCACAAACTCAAACTTCGGGCTCCCGGGCACAGTGAGAGACAAACTGCTCGGTATGATTTTACAGATATTTTGCAACACTTATTTAAATGTTTTGACAGCTAACCTCTGCTGATGTTAAAACATCTATATTTCTTATGCTCAGTCTGTCCAAATTTGACTTATTAAAATTAATTAGATGCAGATCTCCCAAGTGGTCACAGTATAAATTGAAGACATTTCTTGTTGAAATCACAGATCTGGCATATGTTTCCAAACCTGAAGAAGAAAAAATACAGACAAAAGGTTAAAAGAAGATAATGCATTGGAGGCAAAGGCAGAAATCATACCGTTTAAGCTGATAAAGTGGTAGTTACAAGTTTTAGCAGTTCCAATTCGATCTCCTGTTTTGCTATATCTAAAGAAACATTCTCACAGTATCTTCATGAGGGAAAAACTCTTTAAAATAAATGGACAAGCAAGCAGAATGGAACTTTCTATCCTAAAATACTCAAAAGATATCATGTGCATAATCCTGCACTGGCCACTGGGGTTGGATACCTATGTCTAATATATTCCAGGATACTCTACAAGAAAAGGAGGCCTTCACGCGCATGCAGCTAGTTATAGGATTAGGAATCCTAGAGCTGAATCTGAACTGTAGAGGGATGGGGAGGAATAAAAATTCCTATTGATTTTCATTTTTTCACACATGGTTTACTTATTCATAAAAAATTGGTACATGCATCCTCGGATGAAATCTGTCTACTCATACCCATCTTAATAGGCTACTTTCTCTACTGCAGGAACAATGAATAAGCTGCATTTGGATTCCAGTAGGCAAAAATAATGTCATATTTTCTCCTCCTTTATGGAAAGGTACAGTACAAAAACATTTAAGTAAAAACAGCAGTTCTTAGATTACTGAATCACAGTTATATTACAGAAAGTGACATAGGAAAAGGTATCTTCTTATAGATGCTATCATTTTCAAGTGAGAAAGCAGCTAAATTATATCTTTATTTTATCTTAGCATGCCTATATATAGCACATTACCACAATTGGAAAAGTAGAAATGAGAAGTCTGCCTATTAAGATGTGGTCTGTATGATAATACAGGAGCTATTCGATTATAGCCATCTGCATCTGGCAGCAAATGAACAAGGAAAATATGGTACATGACTGACTAGCTCACTGTGTCCTTTGATAGCCTCCCAGCACTTAGCGGAGCATGATTCCTCATGCTTAACACAATCACATACTTCACTTTCCTTGTTTGACTTTGAATGTTATGCATATTATCAGTATAATATTTTGCCTGAAGCCTGCTGCTCTTCAAAATAAGAGGACTGTGTGCTTTCAAGGTTCACTCTTCCAACTATACATCTAATATAACGTCAGTTCTTTGTACAAATGTTGTCTGTGCTTTAACTGCTCTTTCCTGGCAAGGCACTCAGAACTCACTAACATAAAGTGTTTATATGACTAGAGTTTAAGAGACTTTCTGTGGCCCTTCGAAGTTTTTACTGTGGAATAGCATTAACAAGGAGTGCACAAAGAATTGTTAATGAAGAAGCCTTTCCAGGTAGTTGCCATGCATCATTTCACTGCAGAAATAAGTTTAAATTCCTCACCCGCCTTACTGAAGAAAATGCTTCCCTTATTGCTCACAAATGCAACTGTATGAGTGTACACACAGGCAGTTGCTTTGACAATCTGTTCATTTTCAAGACTGATTAATAAGTGAAAAGAATTGCCTCCATCACTGGATAACCACACCTATGAAAGAAATAATAGTCACTGCTGAGTTACCATCCATTTTTAGAGGCAGATCCACTACAAAGATTGCTTATTACTCTATTAATAGTTTCTGAAAACAACACATGTCTATTCCAGCAAGTGTAAAAATGCAATCTATTTAATGTATTCAGTAACATATCCATGCATGTAAGTACTGTGAACAGACCAAACTCAACAGAACACAGAATTTTGTTTATAATAAATGTTGATTGATTATGTTGACCTAGGATTTTCCCCTAACCAAAAGCTGTTTATGGATAAGCTTACGGAGTACTTACCAAAAAACCTAAAATGAAGTATTTCCTCACTTTAAAAAAGGATCTAAAAATGCTATAATGCTCAATAACTAATAAGTTATTTCATAAAGTCTCACCGCAACTTAAATCTGACAGAGACAAGTCAAACCCTATAGTACAAGTTTAGTAATTGGAAAATGCATGAAAACCTAATGATTTTGAGCTTGATTCCACAGAAATCAGAAAGAACTTTGCAGAAATAGTCCTAACAACAGGTTTGGGCAATTTATTTCAATAAAAAATAATAATTTACATCACACTAAACTTCAATATTACTTTCTTTGTATACATACCTCATTTCCATAAACATAGAGAAAATGAGTCTCTGGGTGGAAAAACATTCCATATGGCATAAAACCAGTGTTTGGAAATTGAAACATTGGAAATTTTACTTTCTTACTCAGTCTGCCTTTTGTTATCCTATAAACAGCAACCAATGCCCTTTTCTGGAGAGAAATAACATGGTAAGTATTGACAACCAAGATAATTTCATAGTCTTTATACTCTCTACTTTATAGACTACTAAAAAAGGAAGACTAGACAGTGCACTTAAGCTGGGAATCAATTTTAAGCGAGGAGAGAGCAAGTAGTATAATATGCTGGAGAAAGCAAGCAGTAAATATTAGGAACATGATTTCAAATGTGTATTTCCTTTAACTGGTCAAACATAACCCCTTTAAAGTCACTTGTAATACACAAGAAAGGATTTTTGTTCCTGTATTTGGAGAATGAAAAGTTTGTTAAGTGAAGGGAAAGGAGTTGTAGCTAAACTAAAGGAGCTGTAGCTGAAAGTGTGGAAAGTGTGGAGAAGTTCTTTGTATTTCCAGCTAAATATAAAAAACCATTCATCAAAATAATTGTGCTCACTGAAAAGTTTTTGATACTGCACACCAGAAGAAAGATATAGCACAGAAATGAAAGAGAAAATTATGTCATTCCTATTTTGCAATTTTAGTGCATCTGAAATAGAGTTACTGAAGTGTGTAAAATTTTATGAGAAATTTTTGGTCAGTGAGAAGTACAACATAAACTCGGGAAGCACTTGCATTCCTCTTCTTCATCTCTTCAGAGTGCATATCACACTGTGAATAAAACCTCAGGTATGGTAAACTGCTGCAGTTCATAGCTAGGAAAACTGATGCACAGAGAAACAAAGCGATTTGCTTGGAGGATAGTGAAGGAGTTGAGAACAGCACCAAAATCTCTTGGGCTGATGTGTCTTGACTAAACTACTCACCCACACCAGGTAGCCTTCTTTGTTCAGATAGGTTAGAGTGACAGCAAGAATAATCAATTTAATCTAATTTATAAACATAATATGCATAAGCAAGGGAAACTGTCACTGGTTCCATAACATACCTGAGTCTTGTAAACACTGATTCCTGTATTCTGCTGATAATCCATAAGGAATGCTATTGGTCTTTTGGAAAATTTCTTTCTGCCAAAGGACCTTCGAGGAAGGCAATTTGACCACAAATGGAAAGGTGAATAACTGTAAAAGCAGGTTGACAGCTGAAAGAAAGAAAAGATGCAGACAATAAATTTTGCATTTTGGCATTATGAAGGGGTTTGTCTGAATTTGCTCTGATTCTGTTTGCTAAAGTTAGTCAGATTCTCAGTATAAATTACCTCTGATTATTAGGGGATAGTATGAACTAGAAGTTATTCAACTAAAAAAAAAAAATCAGGAAAACAATTTTAAACAGCAATTCTAAATTTCCAGTCCTGTGATAGAACACCAGCATTTATGGAGTAGTGACATTAAAGTTCAGAATACTCAAGCAGAGAAATGGCCACAAAATAGGAATCTTAAAATCATTAAATCATCAGGCCAGACTTGTGCCATGCAACATACTGTTGAAGTTACTGCAAATTTTCTGTTGTCTTACCAGGCTCCATGACTTCTCTTTGTTGAATGTGACACTAACAACATCCTCTAGAATAAATGAAATCTTCATTAATCTATCATCTCTTAAAAATTACAGATTGTTTGGTAAGTAATTTTAAAACAGTTGCTATACTAGTTTAATTGATTGATCTTATTCATTTATAGAAATATTAAATATACAGACTCTGCACTGCATAAAAAAATGGATGTGCCAACTGGCATATTTCTGGGCATCTTAGAAGGAAGATTATTGTGGGTGCAGTATTTTCTTCAATGTAGTGAAATAATAAAAATGATTTTAAAGACATAAAATTTATTTCTGTACCTAAGATAACAGCCATTTAAAGTGGGAAATGGTTCATCTAGTCTAATATTTGGGCACAGGGAAAAGCAACCAGGACATGTAAAGAATAATCTCCTATATAATCTATATAATCCTACACAATCTTTAGAGGTTTGTGGCTGAGGGACTTCTCTAGATCAGAGAATGCAGATGATCATCCTGTTCAACAGAAACTTATGAATTTGTTTTCCTTAATTTTGAAGGATTTGAAATATTTACCTTCTTTTGTTTTAAATCTCCTGTCTATTAACTGTCTGGTGAACTTCCTTCTTATACTGTAAGAAATTCCTCAGACCCTTTTCTACACTGGTCATGAGTTGAGTCCTTTATCAGCCTGCTCTTTTATAAAACAAGAAATGGTGGTGTATTCAAAAAGACTAATTCTGGCATAAGAATACTTCCCTTCAGCTAACTCAACCTCTGGATATGGAATATCTCAGGAAACATCATAACACCTTTCATAAGAATTTGCGATCTGGAACTTTCAAATGTTATTTCCAATTTGCACAGCAAAAGTAGCTGCTTTGTATTCAAAGAAATGTTCAAAGCAATATTAAGAACCAGAAAATGCACTGGGTTTCAAAAAAATAGATTTTAAATTTTATTCCTTCACTTACGTAAAATATGTTTTAGATATCTATCTATCCATACACACACTTGAAAGCTGTATTGAATTGTCCATAGACTAATTTCTTCCAAGACCCAAGTAACTTCATTTTATATGAATGTACATGAACTAGCCAAGAGAATCCACAATACCACAGTTCCTCAAAGGTCACTTAGCAGGATTGATGATTGCACCAGGAAGAGCTCTTTGCATTCTGTGCACTGGGTGGTGGTCTTATCAACACACTGCCTAACAGGTCACTGCTTCAGGCCAAGATACCTGGTTGCTTTAAAGAGCTGTGTTAAGGGCACTGAGAAGGCCCAAGATTCTGTCCATACAGTCTTTCCACAAGCTGCACCAACATGTCAAAATCATAGGTTTCTGTTGCTCTTGCCTGACATATTGACTTGTGGAAGAATATTAGATGCAGGATGAAATTAAAGATATTGGAGAGCTCTTTTTTTTTTTTTAAATGGCAATTAAGAATATGTTCACATGAACTAGGGAGACTGTTCCCCAAATGCCATACAAATTTACTGGATTCCTGAGGCTACTCAGCTGAACTCAATTCACTTTAAAAAGTGCCTTATAATTTTTATGTTTTTTCCCCCTCTTTCTCTTGCAAATTTAAAATCTGAATATTTTACCTTCATAGGTTTCTCTGTTGGCTAGACACTGGGTATTATACCATAAATTTGCACTGAAATAATCATGCTGTAAGAAATAAAAAGACACGAATAAGTCAAGTGGCTGTATCTCCTTTGATATGTAAAAAAAACCCCTGTAAATAACACTACAATTTACTTGCAATAATAAGCATGGGAAATGAATGATTCATTGTATTTGTATGTTGCCAGTTCACCTAGAACTTGACTCATTTCACAATAAGCCAGACTGAGCCTGGTTAGTACTGTGAAAGTCCTCCAAGTAAGCAACAATGTGAATTATTCTGCTAATCAAGACAGAGAAATGTCTGCACATAAACACAGAACTGCAGAGATACCACCCGCTGGAAACCTAACTGCTTTAATTACACAAAAAATCAAAACTCTGCTTGATCAAACTGCTTAAAAACACCCCCCTGCATATCTGACAAGAGTAACATCTGGCTACATGCCAGCTAAATTCAATAGCTGCCACTAACATTTTTTAATCCACCACTGCATTTTTTTAACATCTTACCCCCAAATGACTCCATGTTAAGATGTTAAATATGTGATCTATTTTATCCCAAAGAGTTGAAACACTTTCAATAAATATTTACTGATGTAAAGAGATTTGCAAATACAAATATTGAAAATAGACCGTATTTCCAGCTTTCTTACCATTTCAAAGCCGCAAAAGGTCACATTAGAGAACTAGGGAAAAAAGAACGAAGAATAAAAATAGCACAGACAGCACAAAGATTGTAATGCTAGTAAAAGATATTTGCCTGTATTTACAACTTTTCTTGCCCTCTTTTATTTATTTTTTCATCTATCATTGGATCATAGAGCAATATTGGCATTAACTACAGCAAAAGAATGTGATCCTCTAATGAGGCATTACACTATGGATATGGGCTTGCTCCTCTAATTAATTAAAATGAATTAAATATTTTGAGAGAAATATTTGTGCATAAAACTTGCGATTATACATCTGATATCTGTACATCATATAAAATTGCACATACGTAGATTAGAGAAATGGGAATAATCAGATACTTCACACAGGATCTTTTAATTCCAGAAAGATACCCTCATGGAAGTCACAATAAAAGCAGATCTAGTGGTATTGTTCATAATAAAGATAGCTCAATATGGAGTCTTATAATGGGAAATAGGATAATTCATAATTTTGCCAAACCAACTACTTGGGAGTAAAATTCTCCTTGCAGGTTTTATGTCCTATGCTGACATTTTGAAAACTTGGGAAAAAAAATAGCTAAAATAGTCATCTATCTCTAAGGATAGGGCCAGGAAAACACACATTTTTCTCCAACTTCTGTTGAAAAGAAAAAAATCTAGTGGCCTTCCATGGAGAGACTCCAGTAGCACCTCGCTTTCAGAAAGGATAGAACTTTGGCAGAAAGATGATCTCTGTGTGAAGGCTGAGTTTTTTGCAACATCATGACAACCCAAAAAAAAAGTTAGACTTTCAAAAGCTGGAAATTTTCTTTTACACTGCAAAGACTTGCTCAATAATGCAGTACTGAAATACAGAAAGAGAAACGTAATACACCTTTCTGCAGAGGTAATGTTTTTCTGGACTCTGTCCTCAGCTGCTTTTGCCAGGTACAGGCTACGTGGGAGTCAAACGCACAGTTTAAGCAGCAGGTGTGGCTGCTGTGACGAAGCCACTAAAGCACAGTGCGGGGTGTGTTAGGCTATGGTGCAAAACAACTCTTAATTTTTCTGTTGCAGTCTGTTACTGAATGTGAAAGAGCGTAAGACCAAAAGCAGGCTTTTTTAAAAAGAAAGTCTCTATTTTGTTAGTCCAAATAATTTAACTCCTCTGCAGGTGACCTTATTAACTCTGCTTCTAAATCCTGCCTCCCTTAACATGAGCAGTTGCCATAAACACCCACTAGGAGGATCTGCAACATTCTGTGTCCCAACCAACAGAACTGATCGTCCACTCCGTGCATAGAAAAATCAGTTCTGTGCACAGATTGATCTGTCATGAAAATAAAAAGTCAAGACAGGCTAATTTGAATGGACACATGTACAATATATAAGGAAAAATATGTTAATAATTGAAAGGAAATAAATACAACGAAGAATGTGACTCAGAGCCATGCATTTACAGCATAGCCTAATATTTTGCACTACTTCTAATGAGCTATAAATCTTAAAATGCAAGTAAAAAAAGATGCTGATTATATATTGAATAAACATCTTCAAAATGAAGAAGACCTAATCAGCCTAGCTAGCTGGATTTCAAATAGTCAAGGTTAACAAAACTCTTTGAAAATTTGACTGTTGGGACAGCTTGAAATTAATAAAATGATACATCATTTCCAGTGTAAGGTATACTTCCCCAAAAGAAACAAAATATATATGTAATAACATATAAATGATTGCTGGCTTTACTCTTCAAAATACTTCAATGAAATGATAATTTCATGTACAGAATTTATGTTATAAGAGAATAACTTTTTTTTTTTAAATGAGCAGTTTGTTCCTTGACCTTATTCACTACTTTATTTTCATAGCCGCTTAACTGTGACTTCAAAATGTAACCTTTCACAGAAGGAAAACAGAAAACCGAGTATATACAGAGTTGCATTTTCAGAATACCTCTCTAGAAAATAGCTTTAATTTCTGACTTGCTTTTTGGCTAAATTTTCGCAAAATTGGGTTAAAAAGCTACTTGAAGTTGAAACAAACTCACATACTGTTAGGATTTTTCCAGTAGGTTGGCATAGGTCATTACTGATATGTAAGCCCATTGTGGTAAGCAGCACCAAATGGTGATTCGTTAAAACTATGTTCAGAAGTGAGAGGCCTTCACATGCTTGGGAGGGAGAAAAAGGAACATTGTAAAGAACTGCCCATAATTTGACATTGCTAAAGTCTACCCCAGAGTTTTCACAAGCCCCCTAGGTGTTTCCCCCCAAAACAAAAGGCAAAGTTCACGCCGACAGCCAGGCAGAAGGGTAACCCCCAGTCACAACTGTGCAGTATTTGCTGTCTGGTATGCAGGGCCACCTCCATTGGGTCACCTAGGCAGAGTTAGGATCACATTCTCCTGTAAGAGCTGCAAGTGCTTGACACAAAATGGTACAATCCAAAAAGTTTTACATGCATATAGTCCTTAAATAGCACCCTAGCCTTGAAATCAGAAGCAAACTGCTGATAAAATAAAATAAAAAGACTGTACTGAGCAGTATATGCAAAATTTCATTACGGGTACAACTGAATGATCAAAATCTAGGTGTATATACACAGAATACAATATTCTTCATGCAATGACCCAGATGCTATCATGCAAGCAATGTAGATGGGATCAAACAACCACCACAGACTACAGCCAGATGCCAAAAACATGAATATTCCGTAAACATTGAATATAATCCCTTACTTGCTGATCTTTAGTCCTGATTCTCAAAGGAAACATACAAAACACATTTAGAAGAAGCATCTGGGAGCTAACATCCATAACTCTATTTAACATTGTAAATTATGGCTATTGTTTTGATAATGCATCACAGACTTCCCCACAGCTCACTTTTGCTGACCCTTTGCTTTCACAGACAATTTTTTTTTTGAATTCTCATAGTCATTAAGCAAAATTTGTACGAGCTAGGACAACTGTTCTGAGGTTGTACTGAAGCTCTGTTACTTTTGTTTTGCATGGAGAGAAGGTCTATATATTCCCAAATCTCTCTCCATATATACATATATAAATAATTCCCCCTCCCAATACTGTAAGTTTAGTATATTAAATGTCATCTTTCTCATTGTGAGATTTGCATTGCTAAACCACTGAAAAGTCAAATTCACCATCATCATTGCTGGGACACAGGCTCTTCGTCATGTTGAACCATGTTGTATTGTCATAGGCAAATCCAGTGTAGGTAACACCTACATACACACCTGAAAATTGAAGGAAAAAAATACATACAAAGAAACAATTTACTTTAAGATCTGCCCTCTAATGTTGGATCTTTCTAAGAAATATATTTTCTGACACAGAAAAGATAAAACATTCTCTATTCAGATAAAAATATTATTAACATCTAAAGAATACATTAGAAATGAAGTCTGGAAATTCTATGACTTCTGTTGCCTCTTTCATGGAATTGTTACCTATGAGAGATCCAAATGAAAGCTGGTTTGGACAGCCCGAATACAAAATGAAGCTCATTTTAAAACTCTGTGCTACATCTGTTGTCATATTGGGTTTAACATCTACAAACAAATCTGCAGGTTGATTTTTTTTTTTACCTAAATAGATCAACATCAATCGTTCTGACCCAAAACTATCAGCAGTTCCAGAATTATTTTGCAACTGGAGTAACAATCGATGTCAAGCCCCAGCTGTTCTTCAGGAATTTCACTGAGAAAATTCCTCCTATCTTTCATTAGGAACTTCTGATTGTTACCTAGCGCAAACTGTCCATGCTTAACCCTGCAGAAGAAAAAAGGAAAGATACTTTGCACTTCAAATACAATTCACACTAGCATCCTGAGCAATGCACAGTTTCAAAAGCTGTGAGCATCTTGCTCTGGGGACTTGTTTTAAAGGGCCTGACTCCAGACTTACTTTTTCAAAAAGACTGGAAATGGACCTTTTAAGCAAAGAATCAACGAACATTAGCACAGAAACTGAAGAGGGAAGGAAAGACAAAGCAGATGTAGACAGTTATCTGAAACACAAAGTTTGTAGGTGTAAGTAGAGAGACATTTTTATTTGGCCCTAAATTTCTTGAGTTTAATGAATATATACTGGTCTCTCACAATCCAGTTTTGCCGTTCATACTCATGTTGTTTTTCCATTAAATGTGTCAGATTTTGTACTGAAATTGTAATGAATAATTCCCATCAACTGCTTCTGCCTGAGTTTCTACTTCCGATGGTTTTCATTTCAATTAGTGTGTAAGAAATTGTAAAATAATTCTGAAAAACACAGTGTAAATTCTAACAGAACATATGGCAGTTCCAATAAATCATGTGGGTCTGGACTAGCAATATTAAGTGATATCTGCCTTATGAATTCTACTTTTCATAAGTAAAAGGTAACATGAAAATGACTAAAGGAAGACTAAAAAAGTAAATCTGGAAAGAGTTTTGAGGCTTCATGAGGCAGAGCCCCTCATTTTCTATCACTGTGCTGACCAAATACAGGTCACAGAACGGTCGAGGTTGGAAGGGACCTCTAGAGATAATCTAGTTTCCATACCTATACTGTGCCATATACTCATTTCTTCTGCATTTCTCTTCTGAATACATTTTGTTCAGGCATGCTTCCATTACCACTAGTTCCTACCAAGCTTTTCACATAGCATATACTACCATTTGAATAGGACCAGCCAAATACTAAAATTATGTGGAAAAAGTTCTGTTCAAAGGCAACTTGAGTAAGAACTGGATGCAAAGTTCAAAGTCATACTGTTATGTTATATAGCATGTTAAAAAGCATTTTAATTTATTCACTAGCTTTATCTTCATACTACCTCCTCTCTTACTGGCATAATTTGGTCTTATTTTGAACTCTTCGGATCTGGGAGCATACCTTCGTATGTGCCTACACTTATTGCTGTAAAAAAAAAAGCAGACCTTACATTCACTTTTATTTTTCTGCTGTTCTTTCTTTAGCCATTAGATGGAAGCAGTCACATTTATTGGCCTTGCAGACCCTCCAGTCTGTGCATCAATGTAAAGTTTCTTTCAGCAGGTCGTAGAAGGGTATGTTAAGACTAGTTTGCTAAATATTGAAATTCTTCAAGTTAATAGGATATGTAAAAGATTTGTCTCTAAAGAACACACTGTGTTACAGTAAACAAACAGTTCCATGAGATAGAAAACTCATGGTGTGGGTCTCCTGGGTGGTGCCTTCTAAAGGACGAGCGCACGTTGCTACTTTTCCTGTCCCATCCACTTTCACAGGATGTTTTAAGACCTTATAATCCAGGCAGTTGCATTACACTTCTGCAACGTCCAGTTGTACAGTGTGATTTTTTCCTGCTTGCTAGATACAGGAATAAAATACTGAATCACTGCAGCCGGGTGTATCACTGCTTGGTACCTATTCGGAAAAAGAGGAAAAGAGCAGCAGTCTAAATAGACCACAAATTTTGGAGCTGTTGGTGCAGCAGACTGCTTGGAGGAAAGATCTGAAGAACAATAAGACAGTTCTGAAAGTGTCTGCAAATTCTTTCAGGAGTGAGTGACAGCATTAGAAAAATAATAAGAAAAGCAGTAGAAAATTCAATAACTGTGTGGGAGACATAAGCCTTACAGGTATATCATAAACACTTAATGAGTAAGGTCAGGCTATTGTGAGAACACTTGTACTAAAGAAAAACAGCTTAAGTTTGGCAAGAAAACAAAGACGTTTGTGGCAGCACTCTGAATGTATGTGAAGATGCAAGATTCCTCTAGCCTTGCCTAACACTGAAGATGGAATAACCAAGAGAGAGTAAGTGATGAGGCTTTTTATGCTGTGAAAGGTAGGAAAAGATGAATCTTGTGATATTAGCGGAAAAAAAAATGCAGGATTTGGACATAGCCAGCAGGATATAAAGTAAAATATGATATACAGGCCAGTGGCAGGTGTCCAGATGAGAAAGGAAGCTTCAAGAAAATCTGCAGAGAAGTACATGAGGAGTTTAGAAGAATCTTCTTTTTAATCATTTTAGGTTTGAGATGTCAGAGAGACCAGTCAACATTTCATCCGGACATGAAATGAAGTAGAATTTATCTCATCTAACTGTAAGTACCTGCTTTGTAAGTTTTTCACCTGAAAAAATTACCTAATTTTCCTTTATGACAGAAGCAATGTCAGCATGTGAATTATCTGCCATTCACTACAGTTAAGTGAAATGAACTGTGCAGCCTACAAACACTTATTTCTCTTGCTTGATTATAAAAGAAGTTTAGGCAACAAAGCCATAAACGATGCCCAGTTGTACATAACTAAATACAAAGAGATGAATCCCACCTGAAGAACAACAACAGAGATCAGATCTGTGCAAAAAGCCACACAGGCCTTTCGAAAACAAGATTATTCTTTGTCCCCACACACAAGGAGATAATGATGTCCATGTATTTATAGTCTGCCTTAAAACAAAAGGAAAAGCTCTTTGCTGAGAGTCCTCGTTCTGGAAGCATATGCTCAAAAGGCCTTTCATCTACAATTTTGATGTTTTATAGAAATATATATTTTTTCTCCTTTATTGATTTCGAAATTAAACACTTGTAGATCTTTGAATGTCCTTTCCTGATTCAGAAAATTTCATCTAGCCTTTTTAGATATTTTTTATACTCTGCCTTTTTTAGGGAAAGGAATAAAACTCAATAGGTAGAGTGAGAATATATCTATAAAATACATAAAAATACAGAGAATAATATACTTTAATTTCTGGTTATGCCTGAATCTTATTTAAAGCATTATACCAGACTGTTTCATTGGTTAAATTCATTTTAGAAGAACACAGATGACTGCAGAAGGTAAATCGAGAAATTATAACTAATTCAGAAAATAACAGGTCTTTCACATGTTCACTGCTTTTCTCCTGTCGATGTCACTGTGCATTTGTGAAAGCCCAATGACCTGCACCTACCGGGAGTTGTAGCATTACAGATGAGTCCAATAACTGCCACATCATTAGCACAAGGAGATACTGACAATGTGATATTTATTGCATAAGGCAGCACAGCATCAAGGTTTTCAGGGGTTATTCTTTCACCAAGTTCCCACTGAAGAATTGGTTCTGTGGAAGAGAAAAACTCTAGCTACTTAGCAGAGGTAAAGCATAAATAAGCTGTATGCATAGGAAACAGTCTTCAAGCTTTACAGATTTGGAGACTAGGATGAGAGTGGACAGGAGGTTAAGCACAGTAAATATGTAAGCAAATAAATTGTTTAGATAGCTTTTCCTCCAGTACAAAAGGAAGAATACATTCATGAACAGATACATATTAAGGAAAAAAAAAAAAAAACATTGAAAATAAGGCTATGCTTTTAACATGAAAAATTTGTGCTACAGTGTTTAGTATACATACTGTGCCAAAAATATCATATGTGTGAAGAGTTTTTTTATTTCTTAAATAAAATTTTCCATGACTCTGTATTAAAAAGAATACCATGAAGACCGCAAATTAGGCTTAACAGCTGCAGGGCCTAAAACCCAGCTTCAAGCCTCCTGTAGCAGGGATTGAGTTTCAATGGAAAGATGTTTGGGATAGTATTCTGAATTCAGTGAAATGGAGCTTCTCTTATTCTCACCTCTGAGAATATCCAGTAACGTTCCTTCGGTGGTAAACATATTTAATCCATGATGCATTCTGAATGTTAAGAACCACTCCTCTATTGGAGCAATGTCTGCTTGAACATGGAATGAGTATTAGTGAAATCTTTCAGAATCGACAGAGGAATGACACTCCCAGAAGGGACTTTCTTCACTGAACCTTTTTTTAGTAGCCACTGCTTACTAAACAAGGACACCAGTACATGCCTAGAAGAAATGCACAGCTACACAGTTCATATAAGTTAACTAAACATGACAAATACAAGAAGTCACATACCTGGATATTTTACTTGTTTAATATAGTGCTCACTTTCAGTATTTACTGGAAACGTCTTTGGCTGCATCAAGTGAAGTGAAATGAAAGAATAACAACTAAAGAGGGTATCAAACCACAGTGTTTGGAACACCAGTGGTTTTGAGATACAAAGGTCCAGTTTTATTCAAATGATTTCTGTCACACTACTGAAGATTATTTCAGGCAGAAGTCTGGTATCAGGATTTCCAAACCAACTGCTCATTTGTACAACTGCAGAGTGACAAAGAGTTTTAGAAGCTTGTCTGCATCTTAGTTCCTGTTGTGCCGGCCTCAGTGGCAGTGTATTACCAATAGCACAGCAACAGAGATGCAGAAAAGCACTTCTCTGGAGTAAGCTGACAGTAGTGAGGCTGTGAGGACATTAAATGCAGTATCAGTGATCAGCACCGTGCAGATTTCCTTAATGCCTGCAATAACGGTAGGGAAATAGGACTTGGCAAAGCTTTAAAGTGACCAGATACTAAATTAGGAGATCTTGCTGGCTTAAAGGAGCACTGAGAAATCATCCAAAGGACTTTATCAAGGATTGAATCTAGGAAAGCTAAAGCCATTCTGCACAGAAAATAAGAAAGCCAGGTATATTATGAGAGACAAACATGAACAGCAATAATACTGAAAGAAACAGGGTGTTACTGAACAAAAGCCCAGGAGTTTGAAACTAAATATGTCATTGTGACCACGGATATGAACTCTCAAGCAGGGAGAGCTGCTATCAAAAAAGGCTTCCTTTAAAACTGAACTCCAGTGATTTCTGCTGTAGTGAGCAATGAGTACCTTCATTCATCAATAAATTAACCTCATTTCTACCAGCAAAATCTTGGAAAATAATGAAAAAAAACAAAACAAAACAAAAAAACAACCAAAAAAGAAATGATTAGTAATATTACATTTTAAGAGGTTTAGCAAATCCAGCCACCTATAGAACAGCTACTAAATCATTGTTAGAGGATAAAAATCTGCAAAAATAAAACAATATTTAACACAGCAGAATACACAGGAAAGTTAATTAATTTGTGGACAATATTAAAGAGCCAGAAACAGCTCAATAGAACCCAAAGGAAAATATGCTGACATGAAGTATTATTTTAAAATTCTTACCAGTATTATATGTAATGTTTACTCTGGGAATATCAATGTGCCAAGTACTTTGATCTTCTTCAGTTTGCTTTAGAAAAACAGCATTGAAAAGAAATTTTAATACTTTCTTGCAAAGACCATATTTAAAAACACCCCCTTTTCCAGATTATGTGCCTAATTCCTAAAAAACACTGTACTATTACACTATACAAGGCTGAGGGTAAGAGCAGCTGGAGGAAAAAATCCTTGCAGCAAATTCCTTCAGATTACCTCTGGCTGAAGCCAATAAGGATATGCCAGGCTCAGCTGATTCATGGGAGTCATTCATGCTTTTGTTTCTGTCCCATAAACCCTGACTGCATATCAAGCCTTTGTTTAGCTGATCAGAGAAATACCTTCCTTTGGATATATTCTTATAAGCATTTGGATAAAAATGGTTCCTTTTTTCTTTTTCTCTTCCCCACCCCCGCCTTTTTTTTAACAGATTGTGCTGATAAATCTGACATGATGCTAAATTCACCAACTCTTGGACATACACAGAAATTTTGGGATAATCTTTAGATTTACCTAATGTAACTATATCAATTGGAAAAGCAATCAGATCAGTTCAATACTGATGTGAGTACAATTGTGCTACTGAAAAGGTGATCCCTGTCAGAGTAATTTATCTCTGTATAAGAACAGCTATAGCAGTAGAAAGTGCCTTCAAAGAACAAACTTCATGATACCAGTGTCAATAAAGCAGCAAAGCATCCTGGTGTGGACAGGCCATAGTTACAGCACCAGATGTGTCTTGAAGATATGTCACACCTAAGACTAAATTTCAGATTCTTATGCAATTTTGTGATGATGTGGAAGAAGTTTCTTAAAATTTAAATATATTATACTCAATTGTAAACTCCTTTGATCTGTCTGAAGTTTAAAGAAAGCTTGGAGAGCTACTTGAACAATCCAAACTTAAATTGCATGTTTTTTTTCTGTATTTAATTCCTCCATTCAGTTAAAAGGATGTATGCAGAGGATTCCTTCTTTTCTGGGCAAAGTAGATTCAATACTTCCAAGTAGAAGTTCTAGCTTCCAACTTGCCACTCCCTATTTCTTCAAACTTCACAATTCATCTCTCTGTTGTAAGTGCTACCACCTGCCACTACTTACCTTACCTTTCGGTAAGCATTAAGTTCCCTATTTTAGCCCTGAACTTCGTAATACTGTACCAGGAATGAATGAATCAGAGTGGTGTTAGACTTATTTAAACATGTTTCTCTTGTCCTGGTCTCTAATTAGGCAAAGCTAGACGGTGCAAAGAATTGCAAAGCTAACCCAGCTGCCTAGTAGAGAAAAATAAAGAATAAAGGGTAGGGTATCTACTCTAATCATCACTGTGGATGCCACAGGTTCTGCAGCAACACAGAGAACTAATGAAACAATTGTGTTAGTATGGTCATTGACACTACTTGATAACTCATGCTAATCCAGCATGTACTGGGAAAAAGGAAATGTTACCAGTATCAGTTTGAAGTAGAAGATCTGAGAATAGGTGCTGTTGAAGATCTCAATGGTGGGAGCAAGCCCTGCAGAATTATACCTCAGTAGAAGCTTCTTTCTTGTTTCCAAACTGTCCTCCCCCTCTACATTATATAAATAACAGCTGATCATCTTTGAAAAGGAAGGAAAAACACATAGTTTAACTTACAAAATCTTACACTACCACTTCCATTACAATTACTAATCCAGTCAAACACTTAACAGGCTACTAAAGCCAACAAGTCATTGCCATCGTTTGTCCTTGAAAGCAGATTGGGAGTTATCACTATAAAGCATATTCCATCCCTACCAACTTTAGATGTAGAGTGGGAGCCTCTTGTTTTATAAGTATTGCTCTTGCTATTTGCAGTGGTTGCAAATACTAACAGCAGAATGAGGTCAGCTGATAGAGATATTTACAATTCAAATCCTGCATTTTTGCAACATTATGGCATTTAAAAAAATAACGAAAAGAATATTGTATGCATCATAACTTGCATACAGGCTTAAAGCAATGTACTTTCTGCATGAAAAGACATTTATGTATGGAGAATATTTAAGATCATCCAGTTGTGTCAGAAAACAATCAAAATGCTCAGCTGCAATTAACTGAATGTGCCAAATATTCATTTACAAAGCGGAGATACAAGTTTTGGAATCCACATCTGGCTGCAAGACTCTGATAGCTTCTGAACCTGCTCCCAGTACGGAAACCAGAATGCAGTCTTCTTGGTGACAAGTTGAGAATAAGTTCAAAATGCGCCCAAAGACTTTTGGCTATCAGCAACAAGTACACATTTCCACAGGCACCCAGATATATTTTTCAAAGAAATACTATTTGTGAAATGCTTTACTGTATGCAACTTTTAACAATGGCTGACATCTAATTCAGTGATTCTGCATGCCTACTTGGCATGGTTCTAACACCATGTAAATCACAGAATGCAACTGTTTTTTTTGGTAACTGCCCTTGATAGACTAAATGAATCTTTATTAATAATATTAGGCCAATAAAGAAAAAATATATAAAGGAGATCCAAATTATCAACATTTACGTGCAGGTTAATCCATTATTCCATCTCTAGAAAAACCCTCCTAATACAAATATAAGGTAATAAACCACAGGATGTGTTTCCATGTCCGTGAGGTGAACAAATTGCAGCTACTACATGCCAACCCATGTCTAGGAACTTACCAGATTTTGTGAATCTAGGTACAATTTGATTGCTTTAAACCTGGCTTTCTCATCATCCACTTTGTCAGTAAAGCATGAGAAGCTTAAATTACCTTTAATTGGGAGAAGCAACAAATACATTTTAGTTACTGAAATAGCTTTTGCAAAAATACCTGTAAGACAAATAGCAATTTTGCGAAAGGAAGATGTAATTCACTTAGCACCTAAGACATTAAATATCATCTTAAAAAATAAAATTACCTTCGTGCATCAGGAAATTTTCTGTGATTATTAAAGAAATTTCTGAAGTTCTAGTTCTGCAATATGAATGCAAACTTCCTCCCAACTCTCTCATTCATGCTAGAGTGCTTTTTATAGTTGCTTTTATCCTTCCGTCCATCTATCCCATCATCCATCCACCCAGATCCTGACTGATGCGTGTGATGATACCAAATGAGCCAAAGCTCAAATTCAGAACTTGGAAGGTCAGTATAAGCTCACTATCTCATTTTCAAAGTACTTTTCACTAGCAGGTTATATTTATAATCTTTTTAGATAATTCTAGAATCTAGCTGCTTCCCCAAAGAATAAAACAGATAATTTCCAGATGTTCTAGCGAAGAAAAAAAAAAACAGGAGAAAATCACAAAAAAAAAAGGGCTGGAAGAGATGTCACACAAATGGCCAGGTGGCTGTCACTCTGCATGAAAGGCCATACATTTGGTTCTCAGCATATTGCTGAAAAGTCTCTGTAACACCATTACCGGACTGGCAACGCATCGAATAGCAGGCACTTGCATTTTGATCAGATGAGGAAGCACCCCTAGTGCCTGCCATGAGACAGGGAGGATGCACGAGCCTTGGGAAAAAGCAAGGGCCTGGGCACCAGTATGAGAAAGGAAAATCATACTGGAGTGAGCAAGAGAAGAACTGTCCTCACGCATATAAAAATCATGTTTCCCACCATTTTATTCTAAAAGTAGTTTGTAAGTCGTGTTGTAAGTCATGTTTTACCTTTTTTTTTTAATGAAAGGCTTGAAGGATAAATTTCACAATTCACTCCAAAGTGATTCTGTAACTACCACCTGTGCTGCTAAACAACAAGTTAACAGAACTGATCATTCAGTAATAAGGTCAACTTGCCTTTCACAAAATACGGGTCTCCTGAATACACAGGAAATGTCTTTAAAATTGTCGTAGCTGCGATACACAAAATCAGTGATCCCATCTGTTAAAACGAAAGAAATCCTCCAGAGTTTCTTGTCTAACAATCTATTATGAAAGCATTTCTACCAGCTCTACAAGAACGAAGGATATTTAACAACACCTTTTTCTGAAATGGAGGATGTCCGGATTCTGCTTAAGGTTTTTACCTTGGTGAATCAGTCAGCTTCTATACTTGAAGTCTCTCTGGCCCTGCCTTACATTGGCACATAACAGTGGTGAGATGAGGAGAGGGGAGGAAGGGGTATGGACAGAACTGGCGAGTGAGGACTCAGCCTGTGTTTCACTGACTCTCTGTATCTGTGGGCAACTTAATTCATTCTCTGCGTATCAGATGCTCCACATCCACCTCAGGGGACATCAGGAAAGCTTCTACTTATGAAGTACTTCGAGATCTAGGTGAGAAGGCTCTGTACTAAGGTAAAGTTTGATGCACTCCCTTCTTTGATTATTCCTCCTTTACATAACTTTCTTCTTCTCTGTCTCACTTCTCTAGCTTTATTCATGCGTTTACCCTATATTCTGCACTTCCCGCTCCGGCAGCTGTAACACACAGAGCAGCAGGGAGATTATTCCCTTTTCCCCACCTACCTGGGCAGGCCTCTCCATGGGCATTTTCCCAGGCCGGCAGCAAGCAGCCGCAGCTCCTCAGCCTGGGGCGCCCAGAGGCTTCTGGAGGCGACCGTTGGTTGTTGGAGTTCCCAACTGCCTCCTCCTACGGTCGTTGGTGCTTCCATCCGTCCTCATAGCCTGTACAGACCAGCGGCAACTGTTTGTTTTTTTCCTTCAGCACTTGAAGAAAGTTGTCAGCCAGAGCTGCAAACGTGAGAGGAAATGCTGGTTTCACATGGATGAGCCTGTTTTACTTCATGTTGCAAAGATTACTGCACTTGCAGTACCTGCGTGCACACACTCAGTTACTGCACTTGTGGCCGAGGATCGGGAGCACCCGGCCCAGGCCTCACAGCCCACGCGGGATCAGCTGATCCGCTCGGTGGCACGGGCTGCGTGGTTGCCCTGGGCCCGCCTGCCACAGACTCCTCACACCCTGAGCAGGGCACATGTGGCCAAGAGTAAGGTCTAAAGAGAAGAGCTGATAATGCCCCTATTTTTTAAAAATGTCATTCCTTTCACGAGTATCTATATTTACCCTCCTACAGACAGTGCAGAAAGGTCACAGCACCAATCGAGTTGGTAAATTTATTAGATATTCCCACAGCTCTGAATGCTTCTCCTTTTCTCTCCTCTTAAGGAATACACACATGGAAATAAGCTCGGACTTATATAGCCGCTGTGCTATAAACAGCTGTGCAGCAATATAATGAAGACATGACTGTAGGCAGCTAATGTAGACATGGCTGTAGGCAATTTTACTTGCTGGCCAAAGGCAAAACCATGGTAGACCTTCCACAGAGGAAGTTCAACAGGCGGAAGCACAACCTGACAGAAGAATTAAAACCAATACTGCTCTTTTTCAGTGCCACTACTGCCCTACATAGTCTATATATATGTCTTACGCATATTAATATATACACATAGATACAAAAATCGTAATATATATAAGCCATTTGAACAGTCCCTTAAGTCAAGACTGCAAAAGTGGCTTCACACACCAGCAACAAATCTTTTACAGGCTAACTTATCATGTGATACAAACATTAAAACAAAACATCTAGGTAATACAATATTCAGCTCATAGAAATATAGATAAACTTTTTGCACTTGCAAAGATGTTAAAGTATTTTATAAATGCCAGAAAGCTGATTTCCAAACTGGCACAATCACACAGCAGATGGTGAAAATGAGACTTGCTGGTGAAGAGTGTTGTCCCCAAATCATCTAAAATGTCTCTGACATAGCCAGGAAAAGACTCTTGATCTCAATATGTCAGCTTTGATATCCAATACTGAGCCAGAGCACACCATAAGCAGTATAAAGAATTCAATGTATTACAGAAGGCTTTGGATCAGTCTCTCAAAAATAAGATCTTAAAAATATCTTACTCTAAGGACAGCAGCAAGTGTAGGAGAGCAATAGTTGTCAAACATTGTGGGGACAAAGCAATGATGAGCCAGTGAGGCAAGATTATTAAAACAAGCAGTGGAAACCAGTATTTAGTAACTGCAATTACTGTTTAAAAAAAAAACAGAAAAGCATTTTTGAAGAGGAAAAAAATCAGAAATGAAGGCTCATACTGAAGAAGGGAATTTTAATCCATATGAAAGAAACCACTAGATATAATAATATTCTACTAAATTCAGTTCTCAGCAAACAGTCAATCACAAAAACAAAGAACAATCACTGGAAAGGATGAAAAGGTCATAGTGCAGTCCATATTGCCAAGCTCATTTCTCTTAGTTTCAAAGAAGCTGTGAGAGTTTTCCAAATACTTACTGTAAATAGCACACTCCCTTCCCATCACAAAATATGTAAAGGTCAATGGTGTCCTTGTCTCTGTTCTCCCTGTTTCCACAAACTACTTTTGGTTGACTTTCCTTTTTATTTTCTAAATTTCTTGTTACTGCTATACGCTCTCTTTGCATTTCCAAGGCCTAAACTCTTCAGCAACAGACGAGGTGCAGCATAAGAAAGAGCAACACACGCTTCCCTCACAATCCTAAATTAAAGGATCTGATGCTGGCAAAAAAGGGGATTCTTACTGGTTGGTATATGTGATAAAATCAATGAGTACCCCTACTGTTGCAGATTTTTAAGAACTGAACGTTTGTTGATTGTGACCTATATCAAATAAATAGATGCAAATATGTAATTAGTAATTCTCTGTGTTCTCTTCTTGTTTGGACTGGAGATCGAACAGTGAAAGGTTTCATGATCATCAGTCCTATCTAGCTCCCTATCCTATTTGCTAAACATGGAAGACATCTGTAATGTTTAAGACATCTGTGTTTAAACTAGGCTTTGGCTCTCTCTCAACATACTTTTTCATCATACTTGACCTTGCAATAAAGCTGTAGCAGCAAATCTCATTTTGTAGACATAGAACATAGGATCACTGCAGAATTAGCCAACTGAGAAAACAAAGGTTAAGGAGACATGTTTCTATTCAAACATACTTAGCTCCAGAATTAGCAGAGGCAATACAGAAAGTGCTTGGCTGAGTGCATTGATTTGAAAAGAATTTTTTCAGAAGTTCATTCTGGTGCTAATATGCCTCTCTCAACTAACTTAGGAATGTCAGTCACCAGATGGAAGAAAGAAAACTTTCAGAATGTCCCAGACAAACTATATTAAGACAGTTATGTTAAACTTGCAGAAGTGTCTGAAATTTCTGAACATGCAAATTGTTTACTTGAGACAGGAAGCAATGGCAGACTACTACTACCTGCTCTCCCGTATTTAGGTTCTATGTTCTCTGGGAGAGGTGCTGCCTTTTTTAAGTCTTGAACTGAAACTTGGCAGAGGCGAGGTCTGCTCCCTGCTGGCACTCGTCTGTGACCAGTGGGTCAGTCAAAGGAAAATATGCCACTGGCTCCAGGGGACAATGAATCAGACCTTGCAGAAATATATGTAAATAATAATGCTCAGAGAAGAATCCTACAGGTTATGCATCTTGACTGGAAGGCTGAAAATTATTAAGATTTTCTTTTGTCAGCCAACCCTCAAACCAGCTGTTTCACATGTGTGCAAACAGCAGTTGTGTTGTGTGGGAAGCTGCATAGGGCCATCATTTTTCCATTCCGAGTAATGTGGAAACTCAATTTTTTTCAGCAAAAGAAACGGAATGACAGAGCCATATTTTCAAACTAAACTTTTCTTGAAGAGTGTAAATGAAAAGTAATGCTATCTAACCATATAGTTTGTAACCTTCAATGCTGTGATCTTTTCCAAGGAAGATGAGGAACTCCTCTGCTCAGTGTTACCAGCAGTGGGTCTGAGACACAACTCTGGGTTCAAATCCTTCCTGACCACTTAGGGGAAGATCTGATATAATCTAATGCCATTTGTGGGTCAGAGTTGTGGCAAAACCCCTGTATTTCCAGTTCATCATGAAAACACATCAGGAGGCACCTTCGTCCACTGTGCTCCTGACCAGCATCCCAATGGATGCCATAAATTCGAGTCTGTGAATTATGACAAGAAAAAGGCTTGGGGCTAGCAGCTTCTCTACCCCCTTTGCCATGAGGAGAGCAACTCTCCTCACATGCCTGAAAGCAGGATGTGCTGCTGAAAGGGCCAGGCGAATATGAGAAGATCTATTTCTCCTTTCCATGACAGGCTATAGCACTGCAAACTTACCTACTTGCACTAGTGTGGTTTTCAAGTGATCTGTTTACCAGATAATAATGGGCTCAGAATTAACGAAAGCAGTTACTGCTTTTTCCCCTCAAAGCGAGGGGAGTTCGGGAAAGAGAAGAGGGCTCTGGCACCCACAAATGCGCCACAGGCTGAGGGCCAGCCGAACTCGTCACACTTCGGGCTAACTGAAAAGTAAATCCCCCTCCAATCTGCTTATTTTAGCAGCCTTGCGTGTGGCTTTCCGGCTGCGGCTCGCGTAATGGAGCTGGCCTGGGCTCTGTGCCACCCCTGTCCGGTGC